TGGTTTCCAAACATTTTGCACTGGTGACACACTAACCCATTTACCTTGATTTGTATGAAACCTCTGTTGACATATACAGCATTTTTTTTGTAGAGTTTTTTCATTTTCTTAATTACTCTTTGTTTGGTGAAACTATTGCAACTCTCCTAGCAACTTGACAGAACACACTAGATGCAGTTTTGAAACCATTGACATACAGCATCCCATACACATTGCTGTTAGTGGCATCTTACTTTTGTTGAATTCATTCAGGATGCTAAAGGGTGGGACTTTTAATTCTGCCTACAGGTTTAATGAATCATTTTATTTATTTTTAAGCCTTATAAAGAGCAGAACACAACACAAAAACTGTAGTTGGTTCTTGCCATCATTTTTGGAACCTTTTTATGACACTCTAGAATAAGGCATTACAATTTACTTTCAGGTTCATTTGTTTCCTGTAGTTGTTATTTTGCTGTAATTCCTCTTATTAAATAGTTACTTGTAGATGTCCACTTTTTTTTTTCTCAGTTCTTGAACTACCTGGCATGTTATCTTAGAGCTTAGCACTGGAGTTGAGGGAAATCCACAAAAGATCCTACACACAATACCTTACCTATTATTCCTTAGAACTGACATTATAGCACTATTAATGGCTGGAGACGGCTTAAATGGGTAATGAAGAAAAACTTTAATATAAGTTTAACATGACAGCATAAACTTATATTAAAGTTTTTCTTCATTACCCATTTAAGCCGTCTCCAGCCATTATTAGTCTCAAAGTGGGTTCCTCGTCATCGAATTTGAATTATAGCACTATGCTCTTGACCATCTGGTACATAATTACCTTAATGCTGATTTATTTTTATGATGGTTGTTGCATGACTTTTAAGTTTAATTTTTCCCTAGGAGTAACAAGTTTCCCTGTTTTCTCGTGTATCAACATTTTTATTTTCAAATAAAATTCAGATTGTTTACACCCTCCTTCCCACACCAGAGAGCTATGTGAAGAAATTATGAAAAGATGAGGAAGTGAGGTGTGATAAGGCTTTGTCATGAAGCTGATTGAGAATGATTATGTCAATAGAAAGTATAAAACATGTAACTAAACATGAAGTTTTCTCACATGAAAGATTTGGCAGTTTATGCAATTGAATTTTATTTTGAAATGGATTTAATTTGTTGAACAATCTATGCACTTTGGTTTTTAAGTTCTTTATTCCAAACTATAACATTAGGATTTTCAACAAAAACTAATATAAATATGTTTAGTATGATCATACATGAAAAGTAAGATTATGAAATTATGTAATCGTGATCACAGAAACTTAATTACCTAAATATTTGTGGACAGGTAAACCTTTCATCATTTGACTAAGCAAAAAAGCCTTCAACTTTAAAGCTGTCTGTTCAAAAATTCTCTGGATTTTAAAATGCAAACTTTTCAATTTTGTGAATCTATTAGAAAGGTACATTTTCTTAAATTATAAATGGTCTAAGTGACTATTTAAAGTAATTTAGTGCATAGAGGAAATTTTATTCTCCATTTATTCAAATGAATTGTAACTGAAAGAAGTCGGTAAGCTCATATGTATAGATCTGTATGGTGCTGGTAGTGATAAACTGTATTTATTGAAGAGAAGCTGTTGACAATTAATATCATATTAATACACTGAATTTCACTTTAAATAGCTACAGTTCCATGATTTTCTGTTCAACTTGTTTGTATAATGGCATACTATTTTTGAATTATACGTAGTGTATAAACAAAAGGTATCATACTTATTTATGAAATTACCAAGTTTGGTAAAACAGTGGAATCATACAAGACTCTTAAATCAAGAAAATTTATGTTCCAGGCACATTTTATGAAACTTGGGTACTTGAACTATTGTATATGGCAATGTTTATTAATGGTTCATATCTCAAATTCATAAGATATTGAAATAGATAATTTGAAATATTTAGTTCACATTGTTTTGTCAGCTCTCCTGCAAAGCTAATTGTTTCCTTGTAGAAGTCATAAACTTTATTAATGCTTTGCTCATTATTAAGTCATTGAAAAGTAGATGCAAACTCAGTAAGTGTAATTTCATACAGATCTGAGTCAGTAGTTTTCTAGTTGCACTAGAAATTGTCTATTATGTATTATTATTGTTATTATTAACTTCTTTAGTGCATTTGGGTATATACAAGACATTAATACTAGTAATAAATGATTTTATAACACTAAATTTATTTTTCTTTAACTGGAGACTCAACATTTTGCTTTACAGCTTCTTCAGGAGCATTCTTTTAAAACACAAACCATCAGTACAAAGCTTCAGTTGGTTTAACCCTTTTGTGATGGGCATCCTTTAGTGTGCATGTTACATAGTTTTAGTGACTTACATTCAAAATTTTATTAATATACTTGATAGTATAGCATAAAATCGTAGCTAACAATTCATATTTTAATAGTATATAAGATTTAAGTTCTTAATTTTATAAGGCAATATTTAAATAAATCCTGAATTTCCCTTCGTGTGACACAGGATTTCTAGGCATTTCCTGTTCTCTGTTTTATCCACCACCCCTCCAAAAAGTATGAAATTCAATGTAAATTACTAACTATTAAATCGTCATTGCTCAAAGAAACCATAATTTTTATAGCCTTCAATTATGTTTGGTTACAGAGCCATCAAATAGAAAATCAAACCCCTCTTGCCACACCCACCTGTCCCATTTTTGCTTTTAGGATTTGTTAATAGTTCTCTCTTACCAGGGTTTTCATCTTTCAAATGACAAATTATATAATGTTGTTATCTGACACAGAATTGTCAATTTCACTGTTAGCAAATAGTTAGAGAGCCAGAAAAATTGTGATAGTTAGGGAAAATCGTCTACTTTGGCATATTATTATTCTATTTTCTTTAGTGTATTATTTAATTAAACAAAAATTATTTAGTGCATTACCATCATTAGTATTAAAAAAAAAAGGGTTAAGTGTCTTCACCAATCAACAGCAAGAAAGATGATGATTCGAGTATATTCATTATTTCTTCTTTTTCATGTTTATTCTTTATTTATTATTATAAAACTAACTAAAAGGTAAAAATAGTGATATCTTTAGGTTACTTAAGGTTAGATTAGGTAAAATAAATAATATAATAATTTTTCAAGAAGCATGCACACAAGTAGCTCATGGGTAATGTAATTCAAAATCGTAACATGAGCTACATGTTCCCTAATTGATTTACAACTTTTAATGATGTGAATAATAGTTAGACATGGTTCAAAAGGCAATGAAACTGTAAAATTTTACATGAGATGTCTAATTTAATCTTTACTGGGCCCGGCATGTCCAGATGGTTAGAGTGCTCGACTCACAATCTGCCAGTCGTGGGTTCAAATCCCCATCCCACCAAACATGCTCACCCTTTCAGCCATAGGGGCATTATAATGTGATGGTCAATTCCACTATTCATTGATAAAAGAGCAGCCCCAGAGTTAACGGTGTGTGGTAATGACTAGCTGCCTTCCCTCTAGTCTTTCACTGCTAAATTAGGGATGGCTAGTGCAGATAGCCCTTGTATAGCTTTGCACGAAATTCATAACAAACCATCTAATGTTCATGAGTCAAGTGTAGAAACTAGGAAATGTTTTGGAGGAGATTTTTAAAATTATTTGTTTTTGTTGTATTAGTCTTGGCTGTTTATTTTTCTTTGCAAATAGTGTTATTAATCTCTTTGTAATTGAAGACAGAAAGCTAATCAACCTTTTCTGTGATTTATGATTCTCCTGAAATTAAGCCCTTTAATAGCCACATTCCAGACTTATATGGTTCACCAAAAGAAAATAAATTGGGTATACTACTAAAATCCATAGTTTTAGTATGTGGCATTGCCACTGGAAGTCTGTCTTGACTTGTGCATATAATTATTGTGCCATTACTAAATTACGTTCCGCAACACACTTGAATAGTACACAAGATCTGCTATCATGAATCAAGGATGTATCTCACATAGTGACAAGCACAATATTCTTTACATTGGACATTGTAGCTCTCTACCCTTCTATACAAATGGTGTTAATGCAGCATGCAAATTAATGTTGAATCACATAAACAAGTTGGAGATATATGAATTGACAATAGATACTGTTGGAGAAATCTTGTATTTCATCTTTCAAAATGGATATTTTCATTTTTGATAAAAAAAAACAAAAAAACAACTAACTAAGAGGTGTTGCTATGGGTAATAGTCACTATTATTTATGGAAAATATTTATGCATGTTTTTGGAACAATTACATATAAGAATAGGAAAACATATTAATTCTCTTTATAAACAACAACATGAAAGAAGCACAGTTGCAGATAATTTTTTTTAAACTAATCATGAACAAATGACACCTGACATGAAACCACCAAAACTATCTAGTACACTGACAGAAAATTTGAAGAAGCTTTTCTAATCGAACAACTACAACCATGGATGAATAGGGACAAAACATGGTACCTATAATTATAATTATTTTATTTTTTCCATCTTCATTTTTGTTCTTTCAGTATGTAACTTAGAACTTTTGTTTAAAACATGTAGCAGGTTATTGTTTTATCAATACAATTCTTTCAACAATAAGCTTTACTATTTAATATGTCAAATGCATGCTGTAGGATTGTGCACTATAGACTTGAACAAAATTTATTATTTAAACCTATTGAAGCTTTGTATTGGTTGTTTGTGTTTAAGTGGAATGCTCCTGGAGAAGTGTAAAGTGAAATAGTTGAGTGTCCAATTCAAGGAAAATAACAAATTTGATGTCATAAGGTCATTTCTTACTAGTTTCAAGTGTTATTAATTGTTTTTAGTTTGTTCCATTCTCCTTTTACTACAGTACTTGTGTATTTTAGAATCATATTTCCGGATACAATAGTTTTAGTTGGAACATATAGCTGCTATTTATCAGTACAAATTCTGTCCCATTTAATACCAGTGTAATCTTAAAGTGTAAGCTCTGAATTTTTTTTTCTTTTTTTAGGTATGCTATGTTGGTGGGTCATCCTCCATTTGAGACTACAACACTGAATGAAACATACTCACGTATTAGCAACAATTCCTATTGTATGCCTATGAACATATCTGAAAGTGCCCGTAATTTGATCTTTAGCATGCTGAAAAATAAACCTGAAGACAGACCTGTAGTTAGTGTAATTCTTCAAGATCAATTCTTTCATTCTGGTTACATGCCCAAATCCCTTCCTCCATCCTGTTGCTCAAGTCCTCCTAAGTTTCCAACAATGTGCTTGTTCCCCAGGTAGGTCAATGAAGGAAAACAAGTATTTAAGCTATTACCATTAGAGTATTAGGTTAGTTCTGGATTAATGGAAAATAAAAGCTTAGTTATTGAGTGCTAGAAATACAATCAAACTAAAAAGCTTGTGCACTGATTATTGAAGATGATAACTAAAGTGTGGTATATCCTGTATATCTATCAACAAAGATAGTTTATCTAATAACATAACTTAGAAAACCATTGACATCCATAAGGAAAAACTGTTGGATAAAATGTGAAAAATGACCTTTCTAATAATCATAGGATTTTACTGTAATATCCTCTACAATCACATCGGTTTCTCAATTAATGAATAATAAGTTGAAAGTACTTGGCTCAGGTATAATATTGAAAAAAATTTGTATCCTACTTTACATTTTTGTTATTAATAGTTACATATTTCCACATCTATATTAATGTAGAAATTTATTATAACACCTCAACAATTGTCATTTTGTGCACTTTACACACAAAATAGTCATTTGATTTGTTATAGAAATTAGCTTGTAATTATTGAAAGGTAATTGCACAAGAAACTATTGCAAAATTAGTACACAAATAATGTATTTTAAGTGTATTTAATGTTTATGTATAATGTGGCCATATTTGGCATGAATAGTTGGCATTTTTGTAGCATTGTGTCTCTGTATTTTCTCAATATCTTTGATGTAATCTGATTGTATGGCTGGTTTACATTTAAATAGGGTAGGGGCTGGCTATTAACACAGCTGTAAGGGAAGTTTTAAACTAGAACTAGACAGTGGTGAAGGCCAGGAAAAACTAAATGCAAAAATAATAAAAGTTTAGCATAGGAAATGAGTATAGAAGTAGTTATAAGGATAGGCTTAATTGTTAATATTGTAATGCTAGAAGTATAAGAAATAAAATGGATGACTTAGAGCACTGGTGGAAATGGAGGATTTTGAAATAATGGGAATAAACAAAACCTGGTTAAACATAGATGATTTCAATGACAGAAATTTCTTTGAAATAGAGAGTTACAGGCTATTTAATAGGGATAGAGTATTAAAGAGGGGGGGGGGGGGCTTTATATGTAAAATATGAGTTACATCCTGTTGAATTTGAGGATATAAAAAATAATAGCAAGAAGATTGAATCCATTTCGGTTTCTATTAGTGGATATAAAGTAAAAAGGCTTTTAGTGGGAATTTGTTACAGTCCGCCAAATAATACTGATGAAATTAGTGAGAAACTTTACAATGAGGTTACGATTTCAGCTGTTAATGAAGTCATTCAAAATTATGGGCTATTTTAATTTCAGGCATATAGATTGGGAAATTCTAGAGTCAAACCATGAAGGAGAAAGTTTTTTTGGAAACTGTTCAGGATGGCTTTCTTCACCAATTAGCTAAAGAATGTACTAGAAATAATGCTATTTTATGTTTATTGTTAACTTCAAATACAGAAATGATTTAGAGTGTGGAAATTGGGGAACATCTGGGTGCAAGTGATCATTGCTGTATTAGGTTCAATGTTTTACTGCATATTGGGATAAGGAATAATGATATTTTGGTTACAAATTTCAAAAAGCTAATTTTGAAGGGGTGCAACAAGAATTATCTATTGTGAATTGGGCAGCTGAGTTACTTGGAGACTGATCAGATGTGGAAAATTTTTAGATATTCAAGGTAATAATATTCCTTATAGAAAAAAATGGTAGCTGCAAGTAAAAAACCAGGTTGGCTTACAAATAGTTTAAGAGTATGACAGAAGATTTAGAAGATCAAGAATGTTGGTGAAATAGGAAATTAGGACATTAAAAAGGATGTATGAAAAAGGTTGGCTGAAAATGTAAAAATTAAGAGTAAGGATTTCTTTAAATACATTAAGGGTAAACAAAATGTTAGAATGGGGATAGGACCCTTGAGGAATGATAATGGAAGGATAGTATCTGATGATTATGAGATGGGTGGGTTATTAAATTTTGCTTTTCCTTAGGTTTTTACCAACGAAGATTTAAGCAGTTTTCCATGTCTTGAAAGGTTGATAAATGGAAACGAGATCAAACAAGATGACTGTAGTAATTCTGAGCTGGTTAAGAAAAAATTGGGAAGTTTAAAAAATGATAAGGCTCCTGGGCCAGATAATATTTCCCCAAGTGTTTTGAAGGAGATTAGAGATTAGATATGTGAGCCATTTACTACTATTTTTTGTCAGTCCTTGAGTAGTGGACAGGTACCAAAAGATTGGAAGTTAGCTAATGTAACTCTTATTTTCAAGGGAGGTGATAAAAATTGTCCCAGTAATTATAGACCAATTAGTTTTACATCAGTTGTGGGAAAAGTTTTGGAAAGTCTGTTAAGAGATACTTTGCAAAGTCATTTAAGAAAGCTTAGAATTCTATTGGATAGTCAACATGGTTTTGCTGAGGGAAAATCTTGCCTTAAATCATTTAACATTCTTTGAAAAGGTTATTGGATATGTAGATGAGGGTAAGGGTGTAGAATTAATTTATCTGGATTTTCAAAAAGCATTTGACAAGGTGCCACATAAAAGGCTTGTAATAAAATTATCTCTATAGGTGTGGAGGATAAGTTAGCAAATTGGATAGAAGAGTGGCTGGATGGAAGAAAGCAGAGGGTTGTTACAAATGGAGTTCAATCAAACTGGATTAATGTCACAAGTGGGGTACCTCAGGGCTCAGTCTTAAGACCTTTGCTATTTGTGATTTACATCAATGACATAGATGAAGGAATTGTCAATAAATTATTTAAATTTGCAGATGATATTTAGGTCTTGGGTTTTGCTAGCTGTGAAGAGGATGCTGCTGATTTACAGAAGG